CTCAGCTTCCTCGGGTTTTAAAATATCACTCTCTAAACAAAGAATGAGAGGTAAGAAAATAATCAAATGGAATATGCTGGGAAAAATGGGCCAGGCAGAGTAATAGTGGTTTTATAGTAATATGGGGAATTAAACAGCAGCAACACATGTATTTTAACAGTGAACTTTAGAAGCAAAAAAGAACCAATGTGACTTTTATAAAAATCAATGAACTTGGGAAATGAAATAACTGTGGTGGTAAAAGGTTTTTATATACTTGCCTGTGAGCAAAACACAAATAAACAAAGCCATCAGAAGCTTTACTTATATGTCTTCAAAAGAATAAAACTGTCTTAAGATATCTGGGAAAAATTAAAATACAACAAAACCAAAAATTATCATGAGGGAATTCTAGTACAGTTGAAAGGTCAGTATTTTGGAAGATAAAGAACTTAAAAAAAAGTTACTGTAGAAGCTTACTGTTAAGAAGTTAGTCACATTAATTAAAGATCATTTGATAAATTACAATTATTCTTATTTTGGAAAGCCATGTATCAAACATGCCTTATTTGATAGCATTATCCGAATTTCATTGTTCAAATATAGACTACAAAAGGATACTGAAAACTTATTTCAGAGATCAGGTATTCAAATAACAATATGCTCCACAAATGGCTAGCTGATATATGAAAAGATCCTCAGTAGTGTCAGTCACTGGGAAAATACAATTTAACACCAAAGTGAGACACTACTGCACATCCACTCAACTGGCAAAAATGAAAAGGGTGGACAATACTGAGTGTTGTGAGGAGTGGAGCAATGGGACTCATACCTGGCTAGTGCTGTGAGGGTATTACCTTCCCAAGTATAGACCATACAGAAACTGAGGTAGATGGTGGATAGATACATATCTGAGGAATGCTGACAACATTTATTATAACTCCAAACTAAACAAGCAGACATCACTAACAGAATTCCTAAACTGTCACATATTGGTGCAACAGAACACTGTAATAGATGGCAATTTAAGTGTATGAATTACAGCTGTATGAACAACCCAAATAGCCAATGGATTAAAACAATGTTAAGCAAATGCAACAAACATAACAGATTATATATTACAGTTACATTTACATGAAGTCCAAGAGACAGGGCAAAACTAAACAATATATTGCTTAGGGATGAATGTTTGTGGTAAAACAATAAAGAAAAACAAGGAAATGGTTATCATGAAAGTTAGAATAATGGCTGCTTCCAGGGCAGAGGGAAAGACCAAGGGCATTAGAGGGTTTCTGGGGGGGAGTTAGCAATATTCTGTTTTTTGTCTTTACAGTTTCTTTTTCTGAAAAATACTGTATAGTCACTTTATGCATTTAAAATATTTGACAATAAAAAATATATTTTTTTGTTGGTTGTGGGGGCTGAACTCTGGGTCTGGGCACTGTCCCTCAACTCTTCAGCTCAAGGCTAGGGCTCTACCACTTGAACCACAGCGCCATTTCTGGCCTTTTCTCTTTATGTGGTGCTGAGGAATCGAACCCAGGGCCTCATGCATGCTAGGCAAGCACTCTACCACTAAGCCACCTTTCCAGCCCTGGTTTCTTTTGAATTATGAATTAACTAGTTGATCTGTCCTCTAGAGTTATAAGCAATATAAGAATCAGAGCCAACAAGATGTGGAACAAGTTAGAAATCTATGCACTTGGGGCTGGGAAGGTGGCTCAGTGGTAGAGCGCTTGCCTTGCATGCCTAAGGCCCTGGGTTCGATTCCTCAGCACCACATAAGCAAAAAGAAAAAAAAAAGCCAGACCTGGCGCTGTGGCTCAAGTAGTAGAGCGCTAGCCTTGAGCTGAAGAGCTGAGGGACAGCGCCCAGGCCCAGAGTTCAGGCCCCATGTCAGGACCAAAAAAAAAAAAAAAAGAAATCTATGCACTTCCTCCTCCCCAGTGGCTAGTTGCAGCTGTTTTCCTGAGTTAGCTGTTAGGGTTTTCAGGCGGAACTACTGGAGGTTCCAAGTTCAAAACATAGTCCTCAGAATTCTAGCCCTTTAAAAATTTCTATTCCTAGAAAACTACACTTACAGGCCTTTGAAAAACTTTGTGAGATTTTGATGTGTAATTCTCAGTAGTAGCACATGTGTATAAAGGGTCTTATTAAAATTGATTTCTTGGAATAATAAAACCATTTTTGGGGTTTTTTATTTTTTAAAGAAAAACTGTCGGGCACACTTTTTGGAGGTGTTCTCCGTCGGGTGATACAGCTCTGCTGTCTGTATTCTTTCCATTCAAAGCCCACAAAGTTACACTATGTGGTGCTCAGCTTCACCAAAGTTTAAATTTGTGTCTTATTCCTTTAATTTCTGTTCAGTGTCAAAACAGAGCAAAACTGTCAGAAGCAAAGGAAAAAAAAAAGATTCTGCTGCCACTGACCATGGATCTGATTTCCTGTTAATGTAATCTGGGGTGCTGGTCACACAGAGGCGGTCAAGTCTAGGGAATTAAGGCAGATGATCAGCCTGGTACTTGGAACTTTAGGTGAAGGGCAAAAGGTCAGGTTCAACTTTTGGGTCTCTCCTTGCTTTTGCAGCATCCTTCTCCCCTCCCATTCTCATCCACTTTTCCTGCAGCACTTTAATAAAAACTAGTTGTTAAAACACCCATTAGAAGTTTCCCTGGCCTATTGCTTGCACATACATGGTGATGGGAGTGCAGAAACACTGAGCCTCTAGACTCTATTACACACTTGTTCCTATTTCCCTACCTCAGGTGGAGACTTGTAATATCCATCATAGCGGCTCCCAAGCCCCAAGTCAGAACTGTGGAATCTTGGTGTGTTTTTTTTTCCTTTTCTTCATTGCTGCTGCTTTGGTCTCATGCTCACAGTACTCAGCAGAACAGCTTCGACCCATAGTTTTGAGGGTGGTTGTCCTTTCAAAATATTCCTAGAGAACTACACTACATTCCATGAGTTGTTTTTGAATTTTTTAAAACTTGAATTTACTATCCGGGACAGCCACATCGCTGGTTAACTGGCAAACTGCAATTATATTTATTTCACAAATAGTTCAGTCAGGCCTGAGGCACAGGCCAAAATTTCTAGACGACTGCAAGGGGCAATGACAAAAAAAACCCAACAAACCAAGATCCGGCTCTCCAAAGCCCCAAACAGTAAACAATAGTGACTCTTAAATGGCAGCCACTACTACATTTTCTATTGGAAATACAATCGAAATTCCCTCTGTGATATCTAGGAAGAGGAATCTCTCTTCAGACCCCCTCCCCCGCCCCGACAATTCGCCTCCTTCTTCCGCGGAACACCAAGGTGGTGACTCCGTACTCAAGCCGCACCCGTTTCCGTTCCCCGGCTAGGGGGCTGGGGGGACGGCGGGAGGGGGGGGAGGTGGAGGGGGAGCCTCGCGGCTCGCATCTTCGCCACGTGCTTGCACCTCCATCATCTCCGAGCTCCACTAGTGCGGTTCACTCATTCATTCACTCACTCACTCATTCATTCGCCGAGTAAACATCTGCTCGGCCGACCACAAGTCTTCCGCCGCGAGGTCTCGCGCCACCACCCGGGAAGGGTGGGGCGCCCGCTCCCCGGAGCAGGTGCACCCACCCGGGCTGCCAGACCACTTCTCCATCGATCCGGCGTTCCGAGGTCCCGGTGGTGGCCGAATGCCTCACCTAGGGGTGGTGCGCTACGGAGTCCGGCCGCGCGGCCCGGGCCTCCGCTCGCAGGTGGCGCAGCCCCCACCTTCCCCGGAGGAAACCGCCGCCGAACAACCTCTCCCCGCCGCCCTCGGGTCAGGGGCGAGGTCGGGCGGCGGCTCCAGCTCCGCCGGGCTCCTCCCCTTCCTCTCTTCAGTTCTGACGCGGTCGTGGAGGCGGTGGCGGCGGCCGCGGTGGAGGCGGCGGCGGCGGCGGCGGCCGCAGCGGCGAGTCTCCGCGGCCCGAGGCGCACCCACCCGCTCGCCGATCTTCGACTTCCTCTTCCCTTCAAACGTCATCAAGAAGCGCCGGAGTCGCCCAGGGCGGGGTGGCTGGAGTGGAGGGAAAAAAGGCCAGCGGTGGAAGCCTCGGAGCGGAAAGAGAAGGGAGGGGGCGGAGAGTGGTTGCTAGGCGACTTGCGTCATCCGCCTGCGCCGCTCTCCTCCCGCCCCTCTCTCTGGAGTGAGGCGAGAGCTCCGCACCGAGCGAGGCAGACAGCGAGCGGAGCTTCGGGCGCCACCGCCGCCGCCGCCGCCGCCGCCGCCGCCGCCGAGGTAGTGAGCGCGAGAGGGCATCTGAGGGACCCGGCCACCGTGCACTGGCCGCCGCCGAGACCTCTGCCCCAACCCGGGCCAGCGGGAGCTGCGGCCGCCCTCCTCTTCCCCCCCTTCACCTTCCCGGCCGGCAGCGGCGGCTGCACACGCCGGAGCCGGAGCCCGAGCCGGAGCCGGAGCCGGAGCCGGCGGCAGGGGGGCAGGGAGGCGGCTGCCGCGCTCGGCCGGGACTGGTAGCTACTTCGCGGTGAGAGGACGCTGAGGCGGGGCTGGAATCGCTGCCTTGTCCCCGGGCTTGGGGCGAAGGACCCCCAAGGTGTCGGGAGGGGGGTCCCAGCCGCCGCGACACATGCGGGAGCCGGGAGCGGGGGCGGCGCCGAGCGGAGCCGGCCGGGTCCCCAGCCTCGCCGCTACCTCAGCCACCCGCCCGGGGCCGTAGCATCGCGCTCCGAAGTGTATGAGTCGGAACCCCAAGCCGGGCAGCCACCCCCCGCCCTGGGGGGCGGGGACCCCGATGTGAAGCGGCGGCGGGGAGAGCCGGACCGGCGCCGTCGTCCTTTCCCTACCTTCCCCTCCCCTCCACCCCCTCCGGGGGGGGGTCTTCTCCCTCGGCCAGCCGCCGGCCCCCCGGCTCCTCGGCTGGACTCCGGGAGTTCTTAGAGCCCCCTCCCCCGCCCCAGCCCTCCGGGCGGCGGGGCCGGGGGGGAACCGGGGGGCCGGCTGCAGCCTCCGCCCAGAGGAAACTTTATAAAAACAAAATCCGGAGCTTTCCAAACGTGACTGTCCCGGGACTAGTGGCCCTGGACGGGCCGGAGCCCCAGCCTGAGACCCAGGAAGAGGAAAAGAGGAGGTGAGAGGGACCGCCACCACCTCCGCCGGCCGCGCGGAAGAGACCGGGGTGGCCGGCCGACGGAGCCACGGCAGCACCGCTTCTTGCACAGTTCCGCGCCCAGCCTTCCCCAGCTGTCCCCGCGGTCCCAAGGAGGAAGGGAACTCCAGCTACTTTCTTGGCGCTGCGGCTCATCCCCACAGCGTGAGTAGCCTCGGGAGGGTGAACGGCGGGATGGAAAGTGGGAGTTGCTGCTGCTGGTTGTGCGTTTTTTTTTGGGAGGGGGAGGTTGGAGTGTGTTGCCGGAGGGTTGGTGTGTAGAGGTGAGAAGATCTCTTGTGTCCCTTTCTTTGGCACAGAAGAGAAGACAGTAGGTAGCTCTGTGCTTTGTAAACCTTGTAGCTTGCAGGGTACAGGATGATCTTTGAGGAGTTCTGACTGCTCCAGAGTGGGAATACGCACCTTTCTTCTGGCAAGTAATTGGCAAATGGAAATTGAGGAAGCCATAGCCTCAGTGTGCACAAAGGATATCTCTGTACTGTACCTTTTCCTGCTACACCGGCTGTGATATAGCGTGGCAGTTGTTTCTGGGCAACACTTTTGGATTCCCACGTGGGAACCACTTACAGTCTGAACCCTCGAAAGTAAAAGAAAAACACTTTTTTCCTTTTAGTTTTCCTTGAGAGGATAACTGATTTGTTTTTTTCATATTAGTACCTATTGGTATAAGTTTTTCTTTATCATTTCCTGACTCCACAATTCCTCTTTATAAGAGGACTCCAACAGATTTAAGTTGCTTAGGAAATTCAGTTCTTAATCACTACTGACTGGGGACTTATAATGGGGACAGAGCTTACTGTCTTTGTCATTTTATAAAAGTTGCTACCCCTGCCCTTTCATCCAACAACTCTTTTTTTTTTTTTTGAGTGATGGTGTCTTGACAGCAGTTTTTTTTTTCTTGTGAATATGGTGTGAGACTGATTATATTTACCTCTCAGTTAAGAATTTTTTTTCCCCCTATTACTTTAAAGTAGAAGGCTATAAAATTTTTGACTTGTATTCTAGGTATTTTCTCAGGGTACCAAAGTAAAAGTGTGTAAAATAATTAATGCTGGTCACCCGGTGGCTTCTACCTGTAACCCTAGCTTACTCAAGAGGCTGAGATCTGAGCATCCTTTAGAGGTCAGCCCATCCCAGGGAGGGAAGTCTGTGAGGCTCTTAACCTCATTTAACCCCCAAAAAGCCATGTGTGGCTCAAATGGTAGAATGAGAACACTGAATGAAAGAGTTAAGGGATAGTGCCCAGGCCCTGACTTCAAGCCCCAGTACTAGTATACACATAAAGCAACTACCACTTCACATATTTAAGGATTAACTTAAATACGTTAAAGGTTAAATACCCAGTGGAATATTCTGTAACAAGGCATAGGTAGTGTAGATGGAGAATTCTGGTCCATCTGAACAACTAAAATGTGGGCTTGCTAACAACCCTTACTAATTTGCTAGGGTTAGAGATGCTTTGTGGGAATGAATAGAAATCTGTGCTTATCTATTCAAATTTTTCCATTCCTTATCATGAGTGAATTCATTTAAACTTTCTTAAATGTAATTATCCAAAACTTTTACCTCCTTAAAATAACAGTTGTGTAAATTTATTAGCTTTTATATTATCTTACACTTGCCTCCTAGTTCCTAGATGAAATCGGAGTTTGTGTTTTGTGAAATGCTAAATCAGGTTTGACCTTATCTCTTCCTGGTTTTGTAGATGTTGATTTCTCTACTGTCCTCTTTCTCAGTGCTTTCTTGGAACAAGTTCTTTGACAGTTTTGCCCTGCCCTGGAACTTCTGTTTTGCTTAGTTTATGTGCTTTGTTATTCTTAAGCTTTTGTAAGACCCATACATTGTATTTTAAATGAGAACTTGAATGAAAATATCTGGTAGTGGGATGTAAGGTTAGATCTATAATTGGAAAAATTGTTTTTGGTTATGTTTCCTTATTTTATGACATTGAAAAAGTTATATATTCCACTTTTTCCAAAGATGATGGAGAAATCTCATCTTTATAGGCTGATACTTGGAGTGGAGCATAAGTCATAAAACTACCATTTGAGTGTAGCTTGTACCTATTCAGAATTGCTTGCTTACTTTAGGACTTGTATTGCTTTGACTGTAATTTGGTTAACAGTCATGGTAATATTGTTTTGAATATTTGGGTAGAAATGACAATATTTTGTGTATCTATGTTTCATATGTATATGGGTGGCAGAAGCAATCAAATACACATTGTTCAAATCTGTAGGAAAGGGGAAATGGACCAATACTAATTTAAGACCACTATATACCAGGTCCATGTGTTTGGTTCGTGTCTTATAGTTGTAAATGTAGTTGTGTATTTTCATTAGGGAAATGTTGATTTTTGTCCTACACTACACAGAATTATTTGGAGCTGAATCTGAGAATGTATGTTTCAGGGAGAAAAGATCACATGGAGACAAAATTAAGACTTTTAGAATTTGAAGGAATAAAAGACTGATTAAGAAGTTAGGTTGATGTGAAGGAAATCCCTATAGAGGAAGGTTATTTCTTTCTGTCATGGGGCTTGAACTCTGCACCTGGGCTCTGTCCCTGAGCTCTTCAGCTCAAGGCTAGTGCTCTACCACTTGTGCCACAGCACCACTTCTGGTTTTCTGGTGGTTAATTGGAGGTAAGATTCTCATGGACTTTTCTGCCAGGGCTTGCTTTGAACATGAATCCTCAGATCTCAGCCTCCTAGTAGGATTACAGGTGTAAGCCACTGGCACTCAGTGAGGAAGGTTATTGAATAGAGTTCCAGGCCAATTTGTGTTTGTGTAGACTGTAGATGCTCTCTTATAGCCCAACAAGCAGTTTACAGCAATGTTCTTGAAAGGGTAGTTTTAGATGATTACATTTTATCTCAAAGATTAGGATTATTGTTTTTGTGTGTGTGTGTTTCTTTTTTCTTTTCTTTTTTTTGGGGGGGGGGAACTGACATTGTCTAGGGGCTTATCAGGAGGAGGGATGGAAAAGATGTCTTTAATATTTTAGTGTGCCAGTAGTTTCTTGTTAAGAAAGAATTCAGAAACAGGGCAGTGCACTTTGTTTTGGACGTTACTTTTTGAGTTAAGAGTTAGATACTGATAATTTCAAGACAATGAAATAGTTTAATGAGTGATAGGCTGATAGTGTTAGGAGATTTTCAAAACATGTTTCTGAGATTGTACATAGCAAGTGAAGAACTGAAAAATGGGTATTTTTATTTTGAGAGCTAGGATTTGTGTTCGACCAAGCAAATAAACAGTAAGAGCAGAGACTAGATGAGACTCTTCCTCAACGAAAAAGATATTTTATAAGTGGATAATACTTGAAAAGTATTTGAAAAGGAAGGAGCAGCCTTTAAATATGACCACTGTTGTAGTTCTATGGCATATGATTTTGTATTTTTGGAACAGCTATAGATTTTTAATCTGGTATTCAGTTTTCTGAGATTAAGTTCAGCAAACAGAATTTCATTGTTAAAGAACTTATAGTAAATGGGCAGATTTGCTTCTCTATATTCATATTTTAAAAGTTTACCTTGTATTAATGGTCATCTTAAGTTTGGTCTTACTACTACCAAGTGGATCTAAAAATAGCTGACAGGGAATGCTATTTCCCTTGCTTGCAGTTGGTGTGCGTCTTTGTGTCCCATACAATGGAGGGGATATCCCTGTGTTGGCAAAGCAGTGCTTAAAGTGCTTTACTTTTTTTTGTTTTTAAGAAAACCTTTTTATTAAAAAAAATCTGACATTAAAAATATTTAGACTTTTTGTGGCTAGCATCTGGTGTTGACTTTATAACAAGGATTAAAGATTGCAAGTACTGACACTTTTTGTGTTTTGATTTTAGAACCACTGTAGAGCTTCTTTGGCTTCCTAAGAGAGTATTTGATTGGAAGAACCCTCTTGGGAACAGATAGTTGGCCAGGAGAAAGGTCACAATGATTCTAGGGTGCGGGTATAGGGATTAGGATATATGCTGCGTTGGGACCTTCTCTCTTCCACTTTCCACAACATTTTCTTATGTTGGTGGAATCCTTTAGATGGACTGAAAAGGCATCTTTTAATAACTGTGAGAAAGGTGGGACTTTGATAGTAGGGGAGCAGTAACTTAAGCGTTTTGCCTTACAACTTTGGGATTAATATGAGATGATTAGTCAGCCTTGGAGAGTGTGTTTGTACATGTCTTAGCAGTAGATCACATCAAAGTCTATGTGTAGCTTAGCAGCTGCCCAGTCCATTGTGCTTTGGAGATAGTTCTGGAAGTCTTGTGCTCTGTCTGACATCTTATTGTACAGAGGAAGGATTGGCAAACATTTTTTGTTACAGGCTAGTTAATATTTTAGGTTTTATAGTCACATGTTCTTTTAGTAACTGTGATCAATGCAATTTGCATGAAGATAAAAACAAGAGGCAGGTTGGATTTGACTTGTGTGGGTCAAAACTTACAGATCTGTGCTATGGGGGATTGAAGATCTACCAACATAGAATATTGGCTTCATTATACTACAAAGCCAAAGCTGGCTATTTTAGGTGATCTATCTTTTCTAGGTGAGATATACTCCTCTGTGCAATATTAAAATGTTTATTCATTAAGCAGAAGACCAAAATCATAATGATGAATATAGATTGAAGAGTAAGGGTGATGTCATTGCTAAAGACTTGCAGGTAAAGAATAGAGACCTTTCCCATCTATCCAAAGATGGTGTATTGTGATAGATACTTTGGCTTTATATCATGGCCAAAAGGACTTGAAAAGAGGCTTATTGTGTATAATTTTGAAAGGTTCTAAAAATAAGCTGTAAAGTACTTTGAAGATAAAAATTGAAGGTATTTATGCTTTGTTTGAATCTGACAAATGTTAGTCAAATTATAAGAACATTAAAGTTTAATAGTACTTAAAGATTGCTTATTTATTTATTTGGCTTGAACTCTGGCTCTAGGCACTGTCCCTGCGCTCTTCAGGGTGAGTGCTCTACCACTTGTGCTACATACAGTGCCACTTCCAGTTTTTTGGTGGTTAATTGGAGATAAGAGTCTCATGGACTTTTCTGCCCTGGCTGGCTTTGAACTCTGATCCTTAGATCTTGGCCTTTTGAGTAGCTGGGATTACTGGTGTGAGTCACCGGCGCTCAGCTATAGTGATGG